ATATATATATATATATATATAACAACAACATACACACGCACTTACTAAGTGTGTGTGTATGTTGTGTATATGTATGCATTTATGTATATGTTTATGTATATTATAATTAATTTGAAGTTTATTTTATCGAGTGTTTTTATTAACAAACATAGTTACATGTCCTTATTTTACCTTATAATGTATTTTATTAACAAATCATGAAATGTTTTATATTTCTGAAAGAATTATTGGAAAAAATGAAAACAATGAAAAAGGAGAGAATAAAGGTGGGCTACACCCACGAAAGACAAAAAATAGCGGAACTGAAGTTTAACTTTGGGGTCAAGCCAGCTCGACTAATCAACACCTCGAATTTAAGTAAACAATCGCATCAACAGGCAGGCCGGATCCAGTAAGGGTGAACGGGAGTGCGTATTGATGTTGTGGGCTACATTTATCTATTCTAAAACTGCTGTAGCCCCCATTTGAAAAATTCTGGATCCACTCTTCATCAAACTGTACAATAATTCCTCACAACACAAAGACTATTCAGCAAAGACACCCATAATAATATCTACAAAGACATCATTCAGAAAAAATTATAACATGCTAACCATAACTTCCACAACGATTGCCTCCTCGACTTCCCATGACATTCAGCAATATACATCGCCACTTTTCCCCACCCATTTTCACACCGTGCGGAGCACGTGTATATTACTAGTATTATAAATTACATATGCGTGTGTATGAACTTTGTAAACTTAATTACCTGTGTCATCGTTGATCACAAACAGTCGTGATGTTGTGGTAGTTGATGATCCTTCCAATCTATTTGCAACAAAGAGAAACATTCGACCATTGATATCAAACGCCTTCATACCCATAACACGATTCGTGTTCGGCAAGGACACGAAATACTCGTATAAGCCGGTATCACTATTGTACTTATACACTTTTGTCAACACACCTTCGTAACTAAAAATAGAATGAAACATGCTACGAGTTAGTTAAAAAAGAACCCTGTTTTTAGGGCATAATGTAGAGGTGGCGCCAGCAAGGGGGGCCGGTGCATGGCCCCCTGTCGGGAAGAGCTGCCTACCCACCCCCTGTCTCTGAAGAGAAAAAACACAATTCGTCGGGGATAAAAAAAATTATATGCATTTTCTACATATTAGTAGACTCTAAAATCGATTAAATAAGCCTTTGAAACCCCTAAATTGTCAACATTTTCGGAGGCTTCGCCTCATGGACCGTTTCGGAAACTTTTAATCGAAGCTCGGCCACGCCCAATTTGCCTTCGTCGGGGAAATCCGACCCCTCGTCGGGGGCATCGGCCCCATGTCAAGAACCTCGGCCCCCTCGTCGGGCAAATCCTGGCGCCACCCCTGGGTGAATGTGGGATCACAGGGTTGTGACCAACGTTTCTGAATTCAATTTTGAAAGGAAACCGAGAACGTTGGAAATCGGTAGGCCTACCGTTCTCATGGACAAAGGGACACTTTTTAACACTACAGCCAAACCTTATAAAGGGGACACCCCTATTAAGGGAAAGGGGACACTTTTTGAGTGCGCAAAAGGGTCAAATCAATACAATTTCACCCCTATTAAGGGAACACTTATTTTTTCTTTATTGTATCAAAATCACTACAGTAGGCACAAAAATATCATTAAAATCTATATTTGGACACCTTTTGAGCAATAAACCTAACATCAAACCAGAATTTTGCCATCCTTGTTCACATGACATCATGTATCCGGAGCCTGGACAAATAATCGTGAGTTGCTACGTTTTTTCATGAAGGTATTATTATTGAGAAGGAGATCGCTCGGCAACAGAGACCTTTGACGCGACAAACCAATGTGTTCCCCGCCTTTGGATCGCGCGCGGGCGTATTACCCTATAATTCACATTTTTTCGTTATAATAATAATAATTCTGGATTTATATAGCGCCTCCCGTTGACACAACCTCGAAGCGCTTGAACATTATTACCCCCGGATCACTGGATCAAGCACATATGGAACACACACTCAAGCCCCATAAGGGAATTCCATAATGTTGCAGCTGTATTCAGCGCAGGCGGTGTTTGAACCTACCAGGTACCCACTTGTACTCCTGGGTGGAGAGAGACAACCGTAGATAAAGTGCCTTGTCCAAGGCCACAAGCGACTTGCATAGAGAGAGTTTTGAACCCCGGACCTCGAGGTTGGGAGTCCAAACCACAACCGATGCGCCAACCACTTCTACACTAAACTAGTTCGAAGCACGTTCCTGCCCGTTCAGAAAATTTCATGAAACGGGATGAGGACGGGTTCAAACGTGCAATTTTGGCTTTTACTACGACACAGCAGAGTTTGAAGTAAGTCCACTACGATTGCAGACGGTTTGTACAACGTTACACAACGGGAAGACGTTACGCCTAATGTCGTTTTTAGTCCGTTCTTAAAAATTTCCAATCCACAACCCGTTTAACCCCGTTCACATTAAGTTTCAATCCGTTCTAGGATAATAATAATATGTCGTTCTTATATAGCGCTTAATGCCTTAACAAAGCCTCTAAGCGCTTCACATTATTACCCCGGTCATTGGATCAAACACATATGAATGAAATAATTTACAATAAGAAACTAGATAGCTACAAAATTACCAAATAGAAATTGTTATTTGTGGCAGCAGCAGATGGAATTGCTGGGGAAGACAGTAGAGGATTTGCAAGCCTGGTATAAAAGCCTCAGAACCCGCTTCACCAAGCTGAAGAAGACAAAAGCTGGTGATGGTGTTGCTGAGCAGTCTGAAAGAGACGAATGGGTATTGACGAACTTTGCTTTCCTTGCACCCTTCAGATATGAAGTGAAAAAACGGACTCTTGTGAGTGTAAGTAAATTGTTTATATTGATTATAAGAAATTTAAATGGCAATCAGAATTTTATATATGGTATAAATTGTTGATTTTGTATTAAAACTGTTAAAATCAACAATGTAGTTGCATTTTGAAATAGCCTAGGTCAAAGCTGCTGTCTGGTAATATCCCTTAAGTTTCTGCTGGTGAGACTGATGATGATCTTTTGATTCCACCTTGTGCTGCAAGACAGTCCGCAGATGTCATGGCCACAGCACAATCCGCCAGTGACTCACGTTCTTCAACTCCAAAGACTGCTGACTCCATCTCTTTAACATTCACTAACAAGATGGATCAGTTCTTCGAGATGCAGAAGAATTTGATGGAACATATAGTGAGGCCCAATACAGACCGCAAGAAAGAAGCCTTTATAGAATACGTCAGAGAATCCAGCTATGACATGCACCCTACAGTGTGGGAGGAGATGCAGAAAGTTACCATGAGAATTGTCTTGATGTTTAAGGATAAGGACGCAGACTTTAAGCGAAAAGTGGAGGGTCCAACTTCTGAACCGCTGGCAGGACACTCTTCTGCTTCATCCTCCTGTTCTTCACTTGCTTCAGCGCCTTAGCAGCCACCCCCATGTACAGAAGCCTGTCAGTGTATGGGGTTCCATGGATGCTGGTTGGGTATCTCAACATCAGTTCTCGCAACAGCAGCAACCACCACCTCAGCAGTTCTCACAGCAGCAGCAAGTACTCCAGCAGTTCTCACAGTAGCAACAATAAAAACACCCACCACCTCGACAGCAACACATAATACCATCTCCAATGGACAAAAAGATGACTCTGATAAGAATTAATAGACAGTTAATGGACTTGTGAGTGTACTTTGGAATAATTTTCCACCGACGTTTATTTACAGAATTTCAGTGTTTTCATTGTTGTAATTTCTTATTAAAGTGTTGGGATCTAAGTTTAAAAAAGTTTCATGTTGTCTTTTTAAAATGTGACCTCAAATATTAGCCCATGTTACCCCAATAACCAAAATTTGAAGAAATGTCTCCTCCCACACCCCCACTACCTCCCCCCAAACAATGCTAAATAGTCCCCAAAAGTTCAATATAATCACCAATTTCTGTGTTGCCAAAAGGTCCTTCCAAAAAATTAGTGTCCCTTATACTTTCATTGATATTAATAAAAATTGAAATTAAAGTAAATCATGATTAACGATTTTTGTTAAATTATTAAAAAACAAGCTATCACGATCAATGGGCGGTGGAGGGGGGAGGGGAGGGTCATAATATAATTATGAATGATAAAACAGCAGATTGCATTTAAATACATTTTAAGTATTGCAAAAACTTGCTGGTTACAATTAATGAATAAACATACAGAACTGGATTTACATAGTAATTGTTCATTGTCTATCAATCATTCTGTCTTGCCATGGTACACTTCCAGCTGGACCGTTAAAGTATGCCCGCAAATAGTCCCTGTGGTTCTTGGCAACAACTGTGTCTCTGTTTCCCCTCTGAGATACTTCAATGTCTGGTAAGTTAGTGCTTGGTTTCTGCAGAATTAGTGGCAAGAGGACCTGCCATCTCTGGGCCATAATTCCAAAGGCATTTTCAACCACCCGTCTGCCTCCTGATATCCTATATTTGGCAATCATTTCTTCTCTTGTCATGTTACAGTTACGGGCAGAGTATGGCTTCATGAGGTATGTGCGTAGGCCAAATGCATCATCTGCCAATATGAAATATGGAAAGGCCTTGTCAGCATTTGGCAAAGGTTAGGGTTGGGGAAATCCAATGGATCCATCTTCTAATGCTTCTTTCAATTCTGACTGATTGTAAATTTGTGCATCAGACTGCATCCCATACCACTAACATCAATCCAGAGAAACTTGTAATCTGCATCAACAAGTGCCATGATTACAACTGAATAAAATCCTTTGTAATTGTGGTACATGGATCCACTGCGTGGAGGTCTAATGGCAACATGTTTACCATCTAGGGCTCCACAAACATGTGGGACATTCCAGCGTACTTGGAATTCGTTAGCAATTTTTTTCCAAGTGTCATTGTCGACAGGGCAGCTAATGACTTTATCTTTCAGAACCTGTATTAAGGCCTCACATACTTATTTCACCAACAAGCAGATAGTTTTTCTGGCCACTCTGAAAGCATATTGCAGTGTGGCATAGGAATCTCATGTTGCAAGATGGCGCAGTGTTCTGGCAAGCTTCATTCCTGGTTCAATAGCCTTTCTGAGGTTTGTATCTTTCTTGGTTATTAAAGCTGATATACGTGCAAGGAGTTCGTCAAAAAGTGCTGGGGTAATTCTGAGAAAGTTGTGCAAGGACCTTTCTTCACCCATGCGCAACTCCTCCATCAGCTGGTTATAGTGCCCCACAGTTAGTCTCCTCTCAGGTTCCATCTAGTCCCTCATCTAACATGTTCTAATTATCCTCGTTCTCGCCTGTTTTTCTTTTTCTTCACGTTCTCTGATCTCTTCATATTGTTGCCCTGCTTCTACTATCAATTGCAGGAAACCAACATTCATCATATTTAGTGTTGAGAGCACTTGCATTTGCTCCATGGTAAAATAATATATTAGCCAGAGAGTTGATTTCCAAATGAGATCACTATTGATCTGCACTATTTATAAGAAAAACTTTGCTGATTCGACTGCAAACGGGGTTGGCGTAGTTAAAATGAAGTAGAAACGAGTAGACCTGACTAAAAACGGACTAAACGTACTGGCAATGTAATAGAAACGAGTAGATCTGACTAAAAAACGGACTGAACGTACTTAAAATGTAGTATAAAGCGGTAGATCTGAATAAAAACGGAGCAAGAACTTTTTAGAACTGAATGGAAACGTATAACAAACGTATAAACTGGTTAACACGGCTTAAGAACGCAGTGAAGACGTAATGGAATGTAGTTAGATCTGTCTGAGAACGGGCAGGACGGAGTGGAACGTAACAGCATCTGTGTTGGATCGTACTCCTATTTTCCCGTCGTTCGCACAAAGTTCAGCTCGTTTTTGACCTGTTCGTTCCATGTTCGCACTACGGCAATTCCGTTTTCAGTACGGCAATCTCGTTCGAAATACGACCTTACTCAGTC